AAAAAACACACACTCACATCATGGATCATGGTAAAATCAATACATTCATCGCTCCGCTCAGAATCTAAAATATACTTTATATAAACATACAGAACGACTTTTCTTTGTTTGTTATTGTAGGTACGATGTTTATTAATCGTTTTATATTGTGTATTTTTCGTATAATAATTATTAATTTATTATTATCTCATCATTATTGGCACATAAATCAATCGTGGTTTGTTCACGTTTACGCCTTTATACTCGTAATAATGTACGTAACTACGTAAGAATTTGTCATCACCGTAGAATTTCTGAATGTATTATAATACAAAGCGTATTCATTTTTTTTTTCTTTACAAATTACGTACCTACTACCTAGTATAAAATATTTGTCGAAATTCGAGTTAACAGGAAAACCATAATCACGTCTTGACGCTATTTCCCGACCACAGCCATATCTATATACATGTAGACTTCTTTCGTAGAATATGAATAAACGTATTAATATTAGTCGTATTATTATTACTGTTACATAAGTTAGAATATAATATAAAATGCAATCAAAACACTAAAATGTTCTCATTACACCATAACAATATTAATTATATCATCATAATATCCATCAATCATCATCGAAATTATTTCCTTTTCCGTATGAAATGCTCCTTTCGTACATAATTATAACTCATATATTATAATTCCATATTATTATTATTTATTATCATCATCGTTTTGCGAAACATGTTATTATTGCGCGTAGGTAGTAAAACCACACCATAATGTTTGTTCGTTTACATTTCAAGCTGTTTTTACATGAAAATAATTTTCGTTCCCACGATTCTAACACATCCTTGCTCCGCCTGCGAAAGGTAGAGACGATCATACAAAATCTCGCACGTGGTACACCAAGGTAGGAGGGACACCGCACAGGTAAATCTCGACAGTTTCGTCGCCCGTTGCCGGTGTACGTATCCACCGGGCACGTCTTAACGGTTTAGAACCATGTTAATCCGACAGCATAATATATAATATACATGTATAATAATATATATTATATGTATATTGGTATATATGGTGTTTTCCAAACAAAACGCAAAATACTGGGTCGCACCGGTTAAGGCTACACGCCGCCGCGCCACCAAAATCCAGACCTAATGTAGTGCTGTGTACGGCAACAGATGTTCTATTGTTGTACCGTGGCCGTAACGCGATCCTAAAATGGACACAAGGACCGACCCGGACCGTAACAGTATGTATATATATATATATAT